AAAAAAAAAAAAAAAAAAGAAAAAGATGGAAAAATGGGAAAATTTGGTTTTAAAGCGCAGGGAAATCAAGGCTGGGATTTGCTGTGGGTTTTTAACAGCTCGATTTCCATTTTTGGAGGCTTTTCCCCACTGTATTGATCACGGAATTTTTATCCAGCCACCGGGAATGTGATGCTCTAACAGAAATCCCGGATTTTGGGGTAGTTGTGGTGGAGGTAGGAGGGGAGTGACTGCACCTGGAATTTCCCCTTGGGAATTCTCATTTCCCTCAGAACTCCCCCAAAACCCGGAGGGCTCCGGGGGCTCTGATCCCACGGGATTCCCAAATTTTGGGAATGCTGCAGGAGCGGAGGGAGCCGCGGGGACAGCGCCGGGGCTGCCGCGATCCCAAAATCCAGGACAAGCGTGGATCTGCGGGAATTCCAGGGGTCGGGAAGAGGCTCCCGTGGGGATTCAGGAGCTGCCAGGAGCTCTGTCCTCGCCTGCTCCCCGGGGCTCCGCAGTGGAAAATCACCGGGAGCGTCCGCGCCAAAATCCCGGCGCTGGGATGGATTTGAGATGGTCCGGGATGAGTCAGGGACGATCCCGGGATGATCCCGGGATGATCCCGGGTGGTCTTTGCCCCGCTGGATCCCGGTGGGGAGGGGGGCAGGAGCCCGTGGGGAATTCGCCCTTTGGAATCTCCCGCTCGGAGCGCGGCTGGAGCGGCTCCAGAGGCCGGGAATGCCCGGGGGGAAACGGGAGCGAATCCCAGAGCCGGAGTGTCCCGGGCTGGGGACGGGATAAAAGACTTCCCTAAAACAATTCCCTAAAACAATCCCCTGAAGCAGTTCCCTGAATCAATTCCCTAAAACAATTCCCTAAAACAATTCCCTGAAATAATTCCTTGAATCAGTTCCCTAAAACAATTTCCTGAATCAATTCCCTAAAAAACAATTCCCTGAATCAATTCCCTAAAACAATTCCCTACAAGAATTCCCTGATCCTCCCCAGGAGCCGCCGGCGGGGCAGGGCTCGGCACCGGGAACTCTCCGAGCTCCGCTCTGCCACCGAATTTTCCCAAAACGTGGAAAAACCCCCGAGCTTTTGGGACTCTGCACGGGGACAACGTGGCACTGCCAGGCTGCAGCTCCAGCCGGGAGTTGCACCCGCGGCTCTTCCCGACCTTTGGAATCCCGGCCGCGCCTTTCCATTCCCGGACACTTTTAATTAAAACCCAGCGCAAAACCCCAAACCCCGCTGGGTTTTTCTCTCTCCCCGCCGCGTTGCCGAGCCCGAGCCGGTGCCGCCCGTGGCTCCCGGTGTTTTTTATTTTATTTTTTTTTTTATTTTTATCTCGGCGGCTCCTGCGGCCCCGGCGATAGCGGCGGAGCCCGGGCGGGGCGCGCAGCGCTGGCACCGCCACCCTGCAATCGCCCGTCCCGAATTAGCGCCGGGGCCCCGCGCCCCGCCCGGGCTGCGGCCGGGCCCGGACCCCCCCCGAGCGTCCCCGCCGTTATTTCGGGGACAATTCGGGCGTTTTGCTCGGCGCCAGCCGCGGCGCCGCGCTTGGCTCCGGGGGCAGAACCTTCCCCCCCCACCGAACGGATTGGGTTCCACAGAATTCGGGATTTTGTTGTTTTTTGCCCGATTTGGCAACTTTGGGCAGCGGGGCGGGGGCGGCGGCGGGACCGGGGCTCGGGCAGGGGGCGTGGCCTGCTATGACCCCGCCCCTCCGCGGCGGGGAAGCTGCGCTGCCATTGGCTGGACCGGCGGTGACGTCGGCGCACTGCGGCGGCTCCGCGCGGCCCCGGTGGCGTCGCTTTAAAGGGGCCGCGCTCGCGGCAGCGCCAGCGGCGGCAGCGGCCCCGAACCGGCCCCGAACCGGCCCCGAACCGGCCCCGAACGAGCCCCGAAGCGGCCCCGAACCGGCCCCGAGCCCGGGCTGCCCCCGCGCCGCCCCCGCACACTCCGGCACCGGGGCGGACCGGGCGATCCCGGCAGGTTCCGACCCGGTAAGGAGGAGAGAGGCGGCACCGCAGCGGTACCGGGAGATGCCGGATCTGCCACGGCTGCTGCCGGTACCGGCGGGTCCCCTCATGTTGGACCCTGCCGGGATCGGATGGTGCCGGTACCGGGGGTCTCCACCTGGTGGGATCCTGCCGGCAGCGGAGCGGGTGGTGCCGGTACCGGAGGTGCCGATACGGTCGGACCCTGCCGGTACCGCGGCGGCTCCTGCCGGTACAGGGGGGTCCTGATCCGGTTGGACCCTGCCGGTACCGGGCAGTGCCAGCCGGGCACGGAGCGGCCGCGATTCAGCCCCGGCGGTACCGGGAGGAGGGGAGGGGCTGTGCCGGTACCGGAGCCGCAGCCGCTGCCGGCCCGGTGGGATCCGGGATCCGGGGCTGGATCCCCGGAACCGCCGCGTTCTGGGGCCGAACCGGGGAAGCCCGGTTCGCTCTTTGGGGAGCCCGGGGCTGCGGGAACGCCGCGGATTCCCCGCAGGAAAAACAAACACCGGGAAAAGCCGGAGCAGCGCCGTCACCCGAGGTGACCTGGAAGGGTCTCCCCGCGTCCCTGCCCGTTCCCATTCCCGTTCCCGGGAATTCGGGGGGAAAGCGGAGCCCGGGAAGGGCCGGGGGGACCCCGGGGCTGGCTGGGACCGGCTCCGAGCGCTCCTTCCCAGGGATTTCCCGTTAATTCCCGCATTTCCTCCTCTTTCGGGAGCCGGGGTTCCGAGCGGCTCGCTGGGATCGAGTCCCGGTCCCGGTTCTCCCCTCGTGGCTTTTGGGGCAGCGGGATTCGGATTCTCCCCGCTCGGTTTCCCGGGAATTCTGTCCCGGAGCTGGAATTCGCTCGAGGGCAGAAGTTGGGTTTGAGTTTGTTAAAAACCCGAATATTTAACCCAAATTTTCTTTCGGGTTCAAAACCTCCAAACCGGGCACGATCAGGAGTGCCGGGGGGAGAGCGCCGCTGTCCCGGCAGTTCTCCCGGTATCCCGGGATTTCCAGGCTCGGGACCGAGCCCGGCGGTGCCGATTTTTGGGAACCCGCGGAGGGCGCGGGGCGGCTCCGGCTCCCCCAAAAACCCCGAAATTCGGAGCACGAACCGCGCCAGGAAACCATTCCCAGCAATTCCCCGGCGTTTTCCAACCCTCGTCCCAGACCCGGGGAGTTGAAACCTTTATTCCCAAGTAATTATTCCATTTATTTTTATTTTCCATCCCGACTCCCCGGCTGCGGTTTGGGGTTTTTTTGGTTGTTTTTTTTTCTTTTTGCGGGTGTCCCATCCCGGAGCAGGAATCGGGATCCGCTCCCGCCGGGATTTCCCTTCCCGCTGGGTGTGTCCGTGGATTAATTTAGGTCCGGGACATTTCCTAATTAATTTTTTTTTCCCCTCCTATGGGAGCAGGATCAGGGATGGAGCTGGGAATTCCAGACCCCGGGGCTGATCCAGCTCTGGTTGATTGGGTTCGGATTTTCTTTTCCTTGTCCCAAGGGTTTTGGGTTTTGTGGGATTCCAGGTGTCCCCCAGCCCTCAGAGGATTTCAATCCCGAAATAACGCTCACACCGCGGGTTTGGGGCCGGTTTTAAGGGGATTTGGGGCAGTTTTGGGGCCGGTTTTGGGGCAGTTTTGGGGCCAGTTTTAGGGGGATTTGGGTCAGTTTTGGGACCAGTTTTGGAGCGGTTTTGGGGCCGGTTTCAGGGGGATTTGGATCAGTTTTGGGGCCGGTTTTGGGGGTATTTGGGGCAGTTTTGGTGCCGGTTTTAGGGGGATTTGGGTCAGTTTTGGGGCCGGTTTTGGGTCAGTTTTGGTGCCGGTTTTGGGGGAGCAGCTCCCGCAGCCGCATCTCGGGGTTGCTCCGAGCTCCTGCGGGAGATGGGGCTGGGATTGTCCCGCTGATCCCTGGAAACCCCTCGGAAATCCCCCAGGAACCGTCCGGGAGGGCTCAGGTTTGACATTCCCAAGGATTTTGGGATCGATCCCGGGAGGTGGAATTTGAGCTCCCGGAGCTCGGGATGAGCCCGGGGCGGCCCGAGGGGCTCTGGCCCCGCTCGGCTCCGGTTTCGATGTCCCGGGACAAATCTCCGGGAGATCCCTCGGGGGCTGGCTCTGACCTCACCTGCCCCAAAACCCCAGGTTCTGTCCCTGGAACTTTTCCCACCCCACAAACCCCAAACCCTCGGCCCAGAGAAGTTTTTTTGGGGCGGTTTCACGTCCCCACAGCTCCCTGGCCCGGTGTCCCCGCTGTCCCCAGGCCACCCCGGGGCTCTTTCCCAAACTCTCCCTAAGGCTTCATCCCAAATTATTTTCTCACTGCTGGCAGTGACCAAAATTCCAGTTCCTCTTTCCTGTTTAATCCCTATTTTTTTTTTTTTTCCGTCTCTCTTGCTTTGGAAGCCGCTCCCAGCCTGGCTGTGGCTTTATTTTGGCTCCAGGTTTGTCTGTAAATAAACCCTCAAATTCGGATGGGATTTTTTTTAGCAAAGAAACACCCAGTGTGTGGTTCCAAGCCTCACAAAAAAAAAAAGGGATTTTTCCAAAATTTCCAGCCCAGGTCTGATCCCAGGCTCCGTTTCCCTGTGCCAGGTGCCGCGGTTTTTTTATTCCAGCCGAGTCATGGATCGTGTTTGTTCCCAAAATAGTCGGGAGCCGGGCTCGGCTCCAGCCAAATCCCCCACAAATCACCTTCAGCTGCAAAACTCTTCCTGCTGCTGCTGAAAATCACGGGAATCCTCCCGGGCCCGCCTCCAATTCCCGGCGCGATATTCCCCAATTTCCAGCGCTTTTTTTTTGGGGGGGGGAGGTTTCTCCTCGCCGTGGACCACCAGGGGTCGGCAGAATTCCGGCTTTGGTGTCACTCCAGGAGAATTTCTGCATCCAGAGGAGAACCCCAGAGTGATTGTGGTGGAAGGAAATCGGGGGGATTTGAAGCAGGGCCGCTCTTCCCGGGATTTTTTGCTATTCCTGTTTTTTTTTGTTTTGTTTTGTTTTTTTTTTTGTTTTTTTTTTTTTTAATTTTGCTGTTCCCGTTTCTGTTTTGGGTTTTTTTGTCTGTTTTTTTGGTGTTTTTTTCTTTTTTCCCTAGTCCCGCTTTTTTGCCCTTCCCGGAGTTTTTTGCTTTTCCCGGGATTTTTTGCTTTTCCCGTTTTGTTTTTTTTTTTAGTTTGTTTTGTTTTGCTGTTCCCCCTCTGCCCTCACGAAGGATTAGGAGGGATCAGAGCCTTTAAGCGGCCTCTGCTCTCCTTTAATTCCTCCACCCCGAACCAGAAGCTCCTGAACTCGGGAATATCCAGGGAAAACCCCCCCAGGATTGACCAAATTCCCTCTTTTTGTGCTTTGCAGCCCTCAGCCCGGGGATGGTGCCAGCATGAGGAGGTGCTGCCAGGGCGTGGGGCTGCCATGCCTGTTTAAGGTCAGTGCCACTGTCCCCTGCCTGCCCCAGGTGACATCTGCCACCCCCAAAACTCAGAATTCCACCGCGGGGCGGCTGGGGGGTGCCAGGCCGGGGTGATTTTGGGGTTTGTGGAATGTCCTGAGCTGGGAGGGGATCCCCGGGGATCATCCAGAATCCTGCAGGACACCCCAAAATCCCAGCCTGGCCACCCCTGGGAGCTTTGGGGACGTGCCCGTTCCCTGGGGAGCTGTTCCAGTGTTAATGCCACCCTGAAATCCCCCCGGGCCCTCCCTGGGCTGTCACCCCCCGTGTCCCCAGGGTGGCACAGGACCACGCTGGGCTGTCCCCCCCTGTCCCCCCCGTTCCCAGCCAGGTGTGCCGGGTCAAAGGCCACCTCGCTGATCCCGAGCCCGGTAATTCCTGAGCCGGGCCGAGGCACAGTGACCTCGGGCCGGGATTAGCGGCACAGGGCGATCCCTTTATGGGCTGCATGAAGGGATTAACCCCTCCCGGCCCAGCTGGGCTAATCAGCCTGGGCTCATTTTGGGGTGGGTGGGGGTGGTCCCAGCACGGACCAGTGGGGTCTGTCCTGTCCTCCCTGGCCAGAGCCCCCCACACCCCAATAACAATGGGGTCAGTGTCCCCCCACCCCAATAACGGTGGGGTCACAGCCCCCACACCCCAATAACGGTGGGGTCAGTGTCCCCACACCCCAATAACGGTGGGGTCAGTGTCCCCACACCCTAATAACAATGGGGTCTGAGTCCCCCCCACCCCAATAACAGTGGGGGTTACAGCCCCCACACCCCAATAACAGTGGGGTCAGTGTCCCCCCACCCCAATAACCGTGATCTCTCTCCTCTCCTCTCCCAGGGTGTGGGCATGGCCGGGGCGCGGCCGCCGCGGTTCCTGCTGGTGTTTGACTTTGACGAGACCATCGTGGACGAGAACAGCGATGATTCCGTGGTGCGGGGCCGGGCTCTGCCGGAGCCGCTGCGCCAAAGCCCCGCGGGCGGCTCCTACAACGAGCACATGCAGCGCGTGCTGGGCTACCTGGGCGAGCAGGGCGTTCGCCCCGCCGACTTCAGAGCCGTCTACGAGAACATCCCGCTGTCCCCCGGCATGGCCGAGCTCTTCCAGTTCCTCTCCAAGCACCAGGAGCTCTTGGAGCTGGTGCTCATCTCGGACGCCAACACGTTCGGCATCGAGGCCAAGCTGCGGGCGGCCGGGGTGCGCTCGCTCTTCAGGAAAATCTTCAGCAACCCGGCCAGCATCGACCGCCGCGGGCTCCTCACGCTGGGGCCCTACCACAGCCACAGGTGCCCGCAGTGCCCTCCCAACATGTGCAAGGGCAAGATCCTGGGCGAGTACCTGCAGGAGCGCGCCCGCCAGGACGTGGAGTTCCAGCGCGTTCTCTACGTGGGGGACGGAGCCAACGATTTCTGCCCCGCGGGGACTCTGACGGCGGCGGACGTGGCTTTCCCCAGGAAGGGTTATCCCATGCACAGGCTGATCCAGGAGAGGCAGGAGAAGCAGCCCGGAGCTTTCCAGGCTGCTGTGGTGCCCTGGGAATCGGCCACGGAGGTGGCGCGGTACCTGCAGGAGCTGCTCAGGAGGAAATGCTGAGGGATTCGGGATTCGGATCCAAGGGGAATTGCAGCTCCCTGCTCAGCGCTGCTCGCTTGGCCTCGTTCCTGGGATGTTCTCCTGCCTTTCCCAGCTCTGCTCCCCGGTGAATAAAGCACTTTCTGCAGGTCCCCGGAGCCACGGGGCCACAGCGGGGCCCTGCGGTGACAGCGGGACCCCGCGGTCACAGCCGGGACCCCGCGCCCTTCGCCGACACCACCGGGGATTTTCTGGTGGAGTTGTTGCTTCCTTTCCCTTTTGGCCTCGAAAGAGAATTCCTAAAAATCCAGAAGCCGGCCCCCCATGGGCTGGGCACGTCCTGGCTCCTGCCATGCTCCCCCTGGCCTGCCTGGCCCTGGGCTCCTTCCCCTTTCCTGATCCCACTGGGAATTCCGGCTGGGAAATCCCTGTTCCCTGGTTCCTTCCCCTTTCCTGATCCCACTGGGAATTCTAGCAGGGAAATCCCTGTTCCCTGGCCCTCCACACCCCACCCCGAGCCTTGTGCTGGGGTTCGCTGTTGCCAGGAATTTTTTTTTCGGGATCAAGGGTTTTGGGAGCAGCAGGAAAGTTTTGGGAAGGTGCCAGAGCCCCTCCAGCCCCATCCCAGCCGGGCACGGGATCCACATCCCCCGTGGGAGCAGGGCCCGGCCTCGCCCCTTCCATCCCTGCTCCTCTCCGCGGTGTCCCCGCGGTGTCCCCGTGTCCCCTCCCTGTCCTGGATCGTGTCAGGCCCCTCCTACCCCAGCGAGGGACAATCCCCCCCTGACCTGGGCACCTCAGAGGTGCCAAAATCCCCCCGGGGGGGAGGGTCCCGTGGCACTTTTGGCACCGCGTCCCCAGAGCCCTCCCCCCGTCCGTGTCCCCCTCCCCACCGCAGTATTAATTAACCCCTTCATTAATTACCCTTTCTAATTGCACTCTGCAGGGGGCACCCCCAGCACCCGCTGCTCTCTGGGGTTGGCTCCTCCTGGATTTTTCCTGGATTTTTCCCGGATTTCTCCACAGCCTTACCGGCCCCCGAGGGTGGCCCTGACACCCGCAAACCCTTGGAACCCCCAAAGCTCAGCAGGAAATAACCAAAGCAGCCCCGAGCGGTTCCTCCTCTGTCCCAGCCCCTCGCCTTTGTTCTTCCTCCTCCTGTTCGACTGCGTGGAACTCAAAGCCATGGAATTAAAGATACAAATCTGTGTATTATAAAGGTATTGCAGAAAACACAAAACCGGTCCAGGGCGTGAACGCGGCTGGGAAACAGCTCTGAGCTGCAGCGAAATTCCTCGGGCTGCTGGAATTTTGGGGGATGGCGTCGGAGCAGCGGGGTGGGGTCAGGGGATGAGCGGGGGAAGATTTGGGGTGGGGATTTTTGGGGTTCCAAAAGCCGAAATTCCCAACACTGCAAAAGCCAAAATTCCCGCTTCAAAAGCTGAATTTCCCGGCTCCAAAAGCCGAAAATTCCCAGCGCTCCAAAAGCTAAAATTCCCAGCGCTGCAAAACCTGAAATTCTCGGCTCCAAACGCTCCCGAGGATGCACGGGGGAGCAGGGAATGTTCTGGAAGCTGTGCCAGCGGTGCCACCCGCCCCCGCCCCGCTGCCAACCCCGCTCAGCCCCGCTCATTCCCAGCGCTGCCGGAGCCGGAATTCCAAGGAAATCCCGAGGTGTGGCGGAGCGGGGCAGGCTCAGACGGGCTCCACGTAATTCCCGGGGAAGAATCCCGAGTGCTGCTCCGTGACCCCCTCGCACCAGCCGTCCGGGAAGCGGCGGGTGACGAACAGGAGCGCGCCCGGCTCCAGGGACAGCTCCGTGTCCTTCTGCGCCGTGTAGGGGTACAGGGCCACCACTGCGGGAGGGGACACGGGACACATGGACCCCGCCCGGGGGACACCAGGGAGGGGACAGGAGCGGCCACGGCAGAGCTGGGCACGCCAGGGGTGCAGATCCGGGGGTTCGGGATTTTTTGGGGGGATTTTTTGGGTACCTTTCTCCAGGTAACTCTGGGGGGCCCACGGGGGATCCTCTGCGACTGGGGGTGGTGGCAGAGCCGTGTCCCCAAATTCCGGCACAGCTGGGGGTGGTGGCAGACCCGTGTCCCCAAATTCCGGCACAGCTGGGGGTGGTGGCAGGGTCACCCCAAATTCCGGCACAGCTGGCGGGGGTGGCAGAGCCGTGTCCCCAAATTCCGGCACAGCTGGGGGGGGTGGCAGGGTCAGGTCCCCAAATTCCGGCACAGCTGGGGGGGGTGGCGGCAGCTCCAGCTCATCGGGGGCTGCCAAAACCCCCAGAGGGGTGAGGGATGAAGGGGCTGCCAACCCCAAAAACGGATGGGGAGGGGTCACACGCAGCCCCCCCCCCGTGTCCCTGTGACTGAGCGCTCACCTGGGGGTGGGAGGGGCGCTGGGGGCGTGGCCAGGTGCCCAGGGAGGGGTGGCGGAGGTGGGATGGCAGCGGCAGGTGGGGGTGGCCCCGGAGGGGACGGGGCCAGCGGGGGTGGCCCTGGCAGGGGGGGAGGGACAGGAATTCCTTCCCCAGGAGCTGCCGGGGCCGTGCTGGAGCTGGCGGGGAGGAGCAGCAGCGTCAGGGCTGGCTCTGTCCCCACGCTGAGCACAGACATTGTCCCGTGCCACGACAAGGTGGCACCAGGTGGCACGAGACCCCCAGCTCTGCCAACCCTTCCCACCCGTGTCCCATCCCCACCCTGTGTCCCTTTCCCTCCCGTGTCCCATTCCCTCCCCTGTCCCATCCCCACCCGTGTCCCATTCCCACCCGTGCCCCATTCCCACCCCATTTCCTCATCATTTCCCGCCATTCCCCCTCTCCCTAAAGGATTTTTTTGCTCCGGACTCGAGGGCAGCAAAGCCCCCAAATCTTTTCATTGCCCCCCCAAAGCCCCAGGAGCTCCCTGGTACCTGAGGGACCCCAGGGAGGAGCTGGAGGTGGCCGGGAGCTTCCCCTCAGGGACCACCGGGGGCTGGACGGGCTCGGGGACACGGCTGCTCCTCCTGCGGGGACGGGATGGGATCGATGGGATCCATGGGATCAACGGGATCGATGGGATCAATGGGATACAATGGGATACAATGGGATCAATGGGATGGGATCAATGGGATTCAGTGGGTTGGGATGAGATGGGATCAGTGAGATCAGTGGGATCACTGCAATCAATGGGATGGGATCAGTGGGATGGGATCAATGGGATCAATGGAATCAATTGGATACAATGGGTTGGGATGGGATCAGTGGGATCAATGGGATCAATGGGATCAATGGGATCCAATGGGTTGGGACAGGATGGGAACAATGGGTTGTTCTCAATGGGATGGGACCCCCACAGACCCCGCCCCGTGTGCCACCACCCCTTGGTGACACAGCAGGGCCACCCCCAGCCCTGCCCCGTCTCACCCCAGTGTCCCCGCGGGCTGTGCCGAGGAGGATTTGATGCTTTTCCGAGCCAGGGTCCCCGTGCGGGACAGCTGAGTGCTGGTGTCCTGTGACGGGGACAGATGGACAGGGGGACACGGGGACACTGCAGGGTGACATCCCTGCTCCGCCACCCCCGGGCACCCCAGGGCTGTGACAGCCCCGTCCCCGGGGGCTCAGGGGAGGAGCAGGAGGAGCCTCCCGGGGGGGGCACCGGCACCGTGGGAACCGTGGCCACCGCGCCACCACTTCCCGTGGCCCTGCCGGGGCTGGGAGGCCTCCGAACCCTCCCGTGGGCGCCTTCCGGAGTGGGGAGGGATCGAGGGAGCTGCGGAGTTTCCAAACCCCTTCCTGTGGGGGATTTCCAGAGTGGGGAAGGTTCTGTGGGGCCTCCGAGCCCTCCCCTGGGGGATTTCTGCAGTGGGGAAGGATCAGGGGGGCTGGGAGGTCTCCAAACCCCTCCTGTGGGGTGCCAGACCCCCAAAGCTGGGGGGCACGGGCAGACAGACAGACCCCAGTTCTCCACGAAGGGGGGTTCTGAGCCACCCCTGCACCCTCAGGGCAGCGCTGGGGACACTGGGGACATTTGGGATACTGGGGACACTGGGGACATTTGGGATACTGGGGACACTGGGGACATTTGGGGCCAAGAAATGCCACCCGAACCCCGCTGTGGGAGCCCAGCTGACCTTGACCCCGTGGCCGATGCCGTCCAGGACGCTGAAGTTGAGGGGTTTTCTGTAATAGGGCTCCAGCACGGGGGGTTCTGGGGGTGCCACGATCCTCTGGCTGCTCGGGAACCTCTTGGGGACGGTGAGAGCTCCGATCTCACGGCGTGACACCTTCTCCTTGTGGATGTCCACCCTCTGCGCAGGTGACACTGTCCCCAAAACCCCATCCCGGGCTCTGCCCCCTCCCCCAGGTGCCACCAGCCCCGTGTCCCTGCCCGGGAGGGAGGAGAGGATTGGGATTGCTCAGGGACAGGTCCTGCCCTGTGCTGTCACAGCCCCGATGTCACCCAAGGCAAGGAATGGGGGGATGGCACTGCCGGGGGGGGCGGGTCAGGGGCTCAGCCACCCCCTGAGCCCTTCTCCTGCTGCTTCCAGCGTGGCTCTGTCCCCTCCTGTGGCTGGCCAGGTGGCTCCTGTGTGCCAGGAAGAGGCCAGGTGGCCACAGGACTCTGCCAGGACAGTGTGACACCGGCAGAACCCTCTGAGATTTCGGGGCACTTTGGGATTTGCAGGCGTGACAGGAAAACACCCCTCAACCCAATTCCTCCCCAGCCTCTCCAGGGGTGGTTTTGGGGTCTCCAACCCCTCTTTTCCCAGAGCCCACCCCCCCCAGCAGGGTCCCACCTGTGCCACGCAGGTGATGTCGGCCTCCACCTGGCGCAGCTGAGCCGCCTGCAGGTCCAGCAGGCGCAGGAAGGCGCTGGCCAGGCTGCTGACCTGGTAGGTGACACTGGCCAGGGACTGCGTGCTCAGAGCCATCGTCTCCTCCAGAGCCTTCCTCTTGTCGCTGGCCTGCAGGGGACAAAGGGGCCGTGGGACGAGGCTGGGCCACCCGAGAGGCTCCTTCTGCTTTCCAAATGTCTCAGACTTCCCCTGGCTCCACCCGGCGGGGCGGGAGGATCCAGGGATTCACTGGAATTCCTGCCGGGAATGATGCAGGGATGCTCGGGCAGGTTCTGGAGGGCTCTGAGTGCCCGGCTCGGCCTCTGGGGACAGCAGGAGGCCACGTGGGGGACACCTGGTGGTGCCAGCAGCTGTGCGGGGACGCTGTCTCAGCTCTCAGAATAGCTCGGATCATTTCCCCTCTGCTCTGCCCCGGTGGCTCTGGTGGCTCTGGGCCTGGGGGCTGGCAAGGCCAGAGCCACAGACCCGCGGGGGCACAGGGGAGCCGGGACAGGCGTTCTCCTCCTCACTCCAAAACCCCCGATCCCTCAGTGAGCCGGGCAGGGAGGAGGAGGATGAGGAGGATGAGGAGGATGAGGAAGGATGCACCAGCAGAGTTTCACGCTCGCCCTGTGTGCTCAGGCCCTGCCAGCCCCTGTGACAGCCCAGGACACGCTGCTGGCCCCGGCCCCGTCCCTGAGCCTTCTCCAGAGGCTGGAGCATCCCCCCTCCACCCCAACCCGCTGCCAGAGCTGCTGGGGAGCGAGAGCAGAACCCAAACACAGCACAGGGTGGCCAGGGCAGCCTGGCCGGGAGCCAGCAGGGATGCTCGGGCTAGCAGGGCAAAATCTGCAGCAGCCACCCCCCAGCGGGGCTCCCATCACCCCAGCCCCAGTAGCCACCCCTCAATGGGGCTGGCATCGCCCCAGCCCCAGTAGCCACCCCTCAATGGGGCTGGCATCACCCCAGCCCCAGTAGCCACCCCTCGGGGGCACCCAGCGGGGCTCCCATCACCCCAGCTCCAGTAGCCACCCCTCGGGGGCACCCAGCGGGGCTCCCATCACCCCAGCCCCAGTGGCCACCCCTCGGGGGCACCCAGCGGGGCTCCCATCACCCCAGCTCCAGTAGCCACCCCTCGGGGGCACCCAGCGGGGCTCCCATCACCCCAGCCCAGCCCAGCCCCGTGCCCAGACCTGCAGGTAGTTGCCCTGGCAGTACTCCGCCACCCTCAGCAGGTTTCCGTGCTGCTCCCGCAGCAGCTGCCGCCCCTCGGGGATGTCGCTGAGCCGCAGCCGCTCCAGCTCCGACATGTCCCCGGGCTCGGCTCTCGCTTCCTCCCCGCTGCCGCGATTTGAGGCTGCCGGCGCTGCTGACGCAGGGCCCGCGGGCGCCGCGGTGTCCCCGTCCCCGGCAGGGACACCCCGCCCTGCCCGGGACGAGCGGGGGGCAGGCGGGGAGGAAGGAGCGGGGCCCCGGCCCCACGAGGGGCAGCCCCGGGCCGGGGAAGGATGTGAGTCACGGGAACCGGGGCTGTAGGGCCGGGGAGTGACCCCGAAATCATCCTGATCCCAAAAGGGTCCAGATCCCGAAATCATCCTGACCTTGAAATCGTCCTGACTCAGAAATCATCCCGACCCTGAAATCATCCTGACCTTGAAATCATCCCGATCCCAAAATCATCCCGACCCTGAAATCGTCCTGACCTTGAAATCATCCCGATCCCCAAATCATCCTGACTCTGAAATCATCCTGATCCCAAAAGGATTCTGACTCTGAAATCATCCTGATCCCGAAATCATCCGGACCCTGAAATCATCGACCTTGAAATCATCCCCACCCCAAAACCGTCCTGACCATGGAATGATCCTGATCCTAAAACCATCCTGACCCTGAAATCATTTTGATCCCAAAAGGATCCCGACCCCAAAACCGTCCTGCCCTCCATCTCTGCCACCTGTACCCGGCATCCCTGACCCGCTGCTGCCAGCCCGGGGCTCGGGGCTCGGGGCCGAGCCAGGCTCGGGCACATCCAGGAACCCGCGGAGCTGCCCTTGGCAAAGGGAAGGGAAGGGAATGGAATGTTCTTGGATGCTCCCGGTGCCAGGTGCCCCTCCCGGGAACAGCCCCGTGCAGCCACTCCCGGAGTTGGCAGCGCTCAGGGCACAGCGAGGCGTGCCCGGTGAGCCCCGAGGGGACAGCGGGGACAGCGGGGACAGGAGGGGACAGCGGGGACAGAGAGTCCTTGGCTGAGGAGTTTCACATCCCCGCGGGCGAGGCCGCAGGAAATTCCCACTTCCCCGGTGCTTGGAAATCGTCTCCACCCTCTCCTCCCCCAGGTGCCTCCTTGGCTGCACAGGAGAGCCCCTAAAGCTGGGCCGGGCCTTCCTGAGCCGGTCCTGAGCCCGTCCTAAGGCCAGGCCTGAGGGAAGTGATGGATTTCCTCCGGTGCTGCTCCCCACGCCCTCGGCACCGGCACCGGCACCGGCACCGGCACCGGCACCGGCACCGAGCTGTCCCGGCTGATCCGGAGCTCCCCGCGGGCCAAACTGCGGGGAACTGCTGTGACCCCCCCGCGTCATTCCAGGGGTCATTCCCAATTCCCGGGGGTCATTCCCAAGGGTCAGTCTCAGGGGTCACTCCCAGTGACCATTCCCAAGGTTCACAGCCACAGGTCATTCCCAAGATTTATTCCCAAGATTTATTCCCAGGGTTTATTCCCAGGATTCATTCTCTGGGTTCACAGCCACGGGTTCTTCCCAGGATTTATTCCCAGGATTTATTCCCAGGATTCATTCCCAGGATTCATTCTCTGGGTTCACGGCCACAGGTTATTCCCAGGGTTTATTCCCAGGGTTCACAGCCACAGGTCATTCCCAGGATTTATTTCCAGGGTTTATTCCCAGGATTTATTCCCAAGATTTATTCCCAGGATTCATTCTCTGGGTTCACGGCCACAAGTCATTCCCAAGGTTTATTCCCAGGGTTTTTTCCCAGGCTTCATGGCCACACGTCATTCCCAGGGTTTATTCCCGAGGGTCAGGATCTGGCCACGCCGCAGCCTCCCCCACCCTTCCGGGGCTCTCTCCAGGTGTCCCGGCCGGACCCCACCCACCCTTCCTGCCCCGGGCCCCTCCCCGGGGCGATTAGCCGGGCTTTGGGGCTAATTCCAACAACACCTGAGCGGCTTAGGCTGCTGAGTCCATTATCAGCTTAGCCAGCAAAGACATCAGCTGCCAGCAGAGCCCGGGCAGCCGCAGGGACAGGGACAGGAGCAGGGACAGCTCTCCCCTCGCATGGAGCTCTGAGCACCCCCAGCACCCCCAGGGGCAGCCCCCCGGCCCCCCCAGGTGAGTGCTCCGCTGCCTCCGGGGCGGTTTTGGCATCGGGAATTGTTTTCCCCACGTTTTTTTCGGCTCCTCCGGGATCACCTGGTGTCATGGGGAATGCGTGCCACGGGTTTTTGGGGTTTTTTTTTTTGGGGGGGGAAGAAGAGTTGGGTTTGCCCAACCTGTGCTGTCTCAAAACCTTCCAGGGGTGTGCGAACACGGGGGGAGCCGCGCTGTGAAATCCTGGAGGAAATGGAAACTGGGATGGGTTGAATTCCTCGGAAAAGCTGGGGAGACGTTCCCGGACTCTGCTGGGGGACACTGGGGGGGCTCCCAGCAATAATCCCAAAAACCACCCTCAGCTCCAGGGCAGGATGGCTCAGGACATGACGGAGAAGGAGCTGCTCAAGATGGAGCTGGACCAGCTGAAGAAGGAGGTGAAGAACGAGAGGCAGATGGTGAGCGCTGCCCTGAGCTCCTCACGGCACCCGCGGCACCCGGGCACTTTCCTTCATGGTGCTCTGGGTGCCCCAGGGACGGTTTAGGTGCCCCAGGGATGGTTTTGGGTGCCCCAGGTATGGTTTGGGTGCCCCAGGGACGGTTTTGGTTGCCCTAGGGATGGTTTTGGGTGCCCCAGGGACGGTTTTGGTTGCCCTAGGGATGGTTTAGGTGCCCCAGGGACGGTTTTGGTTGCCCCAGGGATGGTTTAGGTGCCCCAGGGGTGGTTTGGGTGCCCCAGGGATGGTTTAGGTGCCCCAGGGATGTTTTGAGTGCCCCAGGGATGGTTTTGGGTGCCCCAGGGATGGTTTAGGTGCCCTAGGGGTGGTTTGGGATGCCCCAGGGATGGTTTTGAGTGCCCCAGGGGTGCTTTGGCTCACCCCAGGGATGGTTTGGTTGCCCCAGGGATGGTTTGGGATGCCCTAGGGATGGTTTTTGCACGCCCTAAGGATGGTTTGGGTGCCCCAGGGATGGTTTAGGTGCCCCAGGGATGGTTTTAGGTGCCCCAGGGATGGTTTTAGGTGCCCCAGGGATGGTTTAGGTGCCCCAGGGATGGTTTAGGTGCCCCGGGAGCGGTTTGGGAGCCCCATCCTGGCGGGATATTCCCCTCTCCCATCACACAGGTGTTTCCAGGGGGTGTGGATCCCGTCCCGCACGGATCCCAAGCCCTCACCGTGTCCCCCTCAGGTCTCCAAGACGGGCAAGGAGATCAAGGAGTACATCGAGTCCATGGCGGGCGAGGACCCGCTGCTCAAGGGCGTGCCCGAGGACAAGAACCCCTTCAAGGAGAAGGGAGGCTGCACCATCAGCTGAGCCCCGTGCCCACCCCAGGACTGTCGGCTCCCCCTCCAGCCCCACCGAACCCTAGAGCACTTAGACGGCAGCAGAAGGAGAAAAAGAAGAGAGGAAAAAAAACAAAAAAAACCCAAAAAAAAACGAACCAAAACCAACCCCACCCCCCCCCGCTGCGGCCGGGCTCGCAGCTGAGCTTCGCTTTCCCACGAGCGAAAAAGGAAAAAGAAAACAAAAAAAAAGCAAAACTTCTGCATTTTTAGCAGCCTGAGCAAGCGGGGGATGGTGGAAACTCCGAGCACCCCGGGGCCGGCATTCCCACCTGCCCCGAGCGTGCCGCGGGGTCTGAGCTTTGTTCTCCTTATCCCAAAGATCCCGGGATTCCCTTCCCTCGGGATTCCCTTCCCTCGGGATTCCCCCTGGGATCAGCTCGGGAAGGACGGGGATGCCGCCACCACCACCCCACCTCCTCCTCCTCCTCTCGCTTCCTCCTCTGGAAAACCCCTGGAAAATCAGCTGGTGTCACCTGGAGCGCTACAAACCTGATCCCAAGGGTATTTTTTTTAGGATAAATTTAATTTATCCTAATTAAATAGACACAAAAAAACCCCCCGGAGCACAGCCAGCTCCTGAATTCGGCAGGATTTGCTGTTTGGAGTCGTTTTGCTTTTTAAAAAATTTATTCCAGCTTCATCTGGGGAGAAAACTCTCCCCCAAAACCGCTCCAGGACCATCGATCCCACAGGAGAAGCAGCAATAATTTGAATTTTGGAGTCCTTCAGGACGCTGTCCTTGCCGTGGGCTGTCCCTACCCCAGAGGAACAACCCTGTCCCTCTTTTCCTCTTCTCCCAGACCAATTGAAATCCAAGGAAATCCCCCTGGATCGCAGCTGGAGCAGCGTTTTCCTGCCTGCTGGATCTCTGCTCACACAAGGCAAACTTCTAAAAACAGGAGGGCAAGACGGAAAAAAAAAGAGAATTTTCTTCAAGCAGGGAGTCCCCCCAGTGCCCTGCAGCCAGAACCCCCCTCCCTGCTCTCCCCAGACCCCCAAAATATCCAAAATCGAGGTGGTTTTGTTCTTTCTCGCAGATGCTCAATAAACCCGCCAGCACCGCCACGGCCTCTGTTTCTTGCAGGAAATGCTCTCAAAAAAATAGAATTTACAGGAGTTATTTTCCCTCTAAACTGGCCTTTATTTGCTACAGCTGCAGTAGCAATTAAAAGCCACTTTTAATTTGCTTTAAAAGCAAATAAAAGCTGTGAGGAGCAGCTCACAGTCCCAGTGTCGGCTTGTGACCGATGTATTATGTTCATGCTCCAACTTAAAATACTTTTGTTTAAAACTTGGGTGCACAGTGGGGTGGAATTCTGCTTTTTGGTGGTGTTTTCGATGGTTCTACTGGGGGATTTTTGGGAGTGCAGAATCCAATTTTTTTCATGGAGTTTTGTTGTTTTTTTAGGTGGGGCTGATGGAGCTGAATGCGAGAAGCTCCATAATTAATTTCGGCACAGCTTCTTCGCCTGGCCACCGCTCCAAGGCAATTTCAGGCTATTTAGATTTTTTTAAAAAATCCAATATTCGTGTCATGGCCTTGAGGCCATCGGCTCTAGCGGGGCCTGATCTGCCCCTAATCCGGGGTGAGAACCGGGCCGCGGCCGGAGGGGATTGCCCCGGTAATCGATGTTAAAGGGCTGGGATCGTGCGTCAGAGCCCGCTAAGCCGCCTCGTTGGGGATTCGGGACAATGGCGGCCCTACAGCGGCTTAGGGCACGGCCGGAGCGGCCCCTCAGCGTCGTGAGGGCTCGAACCCGCCATGAGGGCGGCGGGCGGCTGAGGGGGAGGGCGGGGCAAAGACAGCTCTCGGCCAATAGAAACGCGGGATTGGAAGAGTGACAGCCCGCTCAGCCAATCAGCCGTGGAGAACGGAGAGCGCCAAGGCGGTCCCGAGGAAAACGGACTGTGAAGTGGGAGGCGGTACAAAGCGAGGTTGAAGGCAAATAGAAACGCGATATTCGAGATTGGCTACTGCTGCTGTCAATCAACGATGACGAACCCTCCCCGGGGGGTTTAGCATTGCTGAAGGAGGATGCGATGCAAAGAAGGCTCTGAGGCAATAAAGATACGAGATTATGAGAGTGAGACACCGAACAGCCAATCAACCATAGAAAACAGAGACCGCGATTCTCCCCGGCGGGCTCCGGGCCGCGCTGGTGAAAGGCGGGGCGAAGCGCGCGGAGAGCCAATAGAAACACGCGGTTTCCAGAGTGACATCCTGCTCAGCCAATCAGCGGCGGATACCGGAGAGCGCCCTCCGGCTTTCATCCTCCGCCTTCCCCCTGCGCATGCGCCGTGAGGCGCCGGCGCCCACGCACAAAATGGAGCTCGGCGTTCCCGGTGCGGGCCCGGCGTTCCCGGTGCGGGCCCGGCGCTCCCGGTGCTGCCCCCGCCGCTTCTCAACCTCCTCCGCTTCTTTCCTTTTCTCTGCTCGGGCCCGGGACGGCGGGGAGGGCAAAAAGAAACACGAGGTCCCACCGAGATTTGAACTCGGATCGCTGGATTCAAAGTCCAGAGTGCTAACCATTACACCATGGGACCGCTGGGTGTACCGGGAGGCGCCGCGCGCCCACCCTATCCCTCCGCCCGCGGGAAATAGTCCCGGCGCCGCTCCCGGGAATTCCGGGAATTCCGGGAATTTCGGGAATTTCGGGACATTCCCGGCCCTAAAATCCCCCCCCCAAATCCCAGAACCGGCGCCGTTCCCCCCTCTGGGACAGCACCGAGCTCCGCCCTTGGCAGCGTCGTGCCCGGCGCTCTGAATTCCACTTTGAATTTGGGATTTTTTTACTTATTTCTGCCTTTATTCCTCTTTATTTTACCCCTTTCTTTCTCTGTTTTCCTCTATTTCCCACTTTATTTCTTTCCCACTCCATTTTCCATTCATTCATCAGTTTTTCCTCTATTCCCCCTTCTTTCTTCCCCTTTTATTTCTCTATTCCTCATTTATTTCCCCTTTCCCCACTCCATTTCCCTATTTTATGTTTCTGTTTTCCCTTTATTTATTTTTCTATTTCTCCTTTAACTTTTCCCCATATTTTGATTTTTTCCTCTCCTCTCCTCTTAATTCCTTCCCCCCCTTTTCCCTTTATTCCTTTTTTTCTCCTTTAGCTCTTATTTATTTTCCTATTTATCCTCCATTCCCCCTTTCCCCTTTATTTTTTCCTCTATTTCCCATTTTAAAAAGTTTTTTCCTCTATTTCCCTTTATTTCTCTTCCATTTCCCCCTCTATTCCCTAATTTTCCCATTTATTTATCCTTTTCCCTTTATTACCTCCATTATTTCTCTTTTTCCCTCTATTTTTTCCTCTCAATTTCTTATTCCCATTTCTCCCTTTAATTTTTCTCTTCCTCCCATTTTTTCCTCTCTTCCCTTTATTTCTTCCTCCCCCTTTTCCCTTTAATTTTCCCTTTCCCCCCATTTATTTTCCTATTTTTCCTCTCTTCCTCTTTCCTTTTAAATTTGAATTTCCCCTCTATTTTTTCTCCCCCCAATTCCTCATTTTCCCCCCTTTTCCCCAATCCCATAAATAAATCCACACGAACGCAAATTTTATTTTCTTTTTTTTTTGCTTCTTTCTCTGTTTTGTTTTTTTTTTTGCTCTTTTATTTTTCACAACGAAACAGTGGAAATAAAGCGATTTGTGGCAAAAAAATAAAATAAAATAATAATAATAATAATAAAAAAAAGGAAATCCTCCTCCCTGGAATCGGAACGGGACTCACATCCATCCCAAATCCCGGGAAAAGGGAAGGACGTGGATCAGGAGAGGTAAAGGGGGAAAAAAAAAGGTGAAAACAACAAAAAAAAAAAGAGGCAAAACCACATCCCAGAAATCTCAATTTTTACCTGAAGAGCCTGAATTTCCCTGGAAAAGCCGCACCTTTGGATGCTCCCAAAATTCAGCTCCATCAGCCCTCCCCCCCCTGCTGCCATCACCCCCCCAAAAAAACCCCAAAACCATTGGAAAAAATAGGAAAAAAAAAAAAAAAAA